ACTAAAAACACAATGAAGAGTTTAATAAACATATTCCCTCACCTCAAGATATTTGACATTTGCATTCACCTTTATAAATGTTTTTTTTTTAATTTCAGAAATATTATGGGGGCACAAACCATTTGGTTACATATATTGCCTTTGCACTACCCAAGTCAGAGCTACAAGCATGCCCATCACCCAGACAGTGCATGCCACACCCATTAGGTGTGAATTTACCCATCTCCTCCTCCCCCCTCCACCTGCCTGGCACCCAATGAATGTTACTTCCACATGTGCACATAAGTATTGATCAATTAGTGCCAATTTAAGACTAAGTACATGTAGTGCTTGTTTTTCCATCCTTGTGATACTTCACTTCAAAGAATGGGCTCCAGCTCCATCCAGGATAATATAAATATATCGATTATAATTAGGCAATGACTATAATTTCTAGGGTTTTCTTTGTTCATGATCATTACTGATACCATGTCCTCTTTTTGCTTGCTTTCTGTAATTTGGTAAATTTTTTGTTAGATAGAGTACTTCTTGGAGTAATGTGTGTTTTTTTTTTCCAGGAAGGGTTCATGGTATGTTTCTTGAATGCTTGTGTATCTGGCTAGATGGCAGGTGCAGATGCCAGACAACCCTGTCCCAGGATCCAAACTCAACTTGTGTTTGTGCTGTGAGTGGACAGCACCTGCCTGAAATGCCCTACTCCCTACCCTCCTGTTCCCACACACTCAGTGTGGACTTTTCTCCCAACCTGGTCCAGATGTCTGGATACAGATGATCCACTGGCACTCTGCCCATCCTCCTTCCCCACTGGGCCTCTCATCCTAAAATCTGGGCTCCAGCTCCCTTCTCTGCAGTCACATTCTCCTGTGGTTCATCCCCTGAACTCTTGAGTTACCTGAGCCCCATCATGAATCCAGGCCAACCTGCACTAGGCTCCTACACCTTTGATCTGTCCTGTTCTCCTGCCTCTCACCACCCACCTCTGTTGGCAGGGCCCTAAGGGGGTGGACACACAGCTCTCAGTTCTTTTCTTCTTCTTCTTCTTCTTTTGATGCAGAGTCTCATCAAGCAATCCTGCTGCCTTAGCCTCCTGAGTAGCTGGGACTACAGGCATGCGCCACCATGCCCGGCTAATTTTTTCTATATATTTTTAGTTGTCCAATTAATTTCTTTCTATGTGTAGTGGAGACGGGGTCTCACTCTTGCTCAGGCCGGTCTTGAACTCCTGAGCTTGAGTGATCTGCCCACCTCTGCCTCCCAGATGCTAGGATTATAGGTGTGAGCCACCCCGCCTGGCCCTACCTCTCAGTTCTAATTGAGGGAAAAGACCAGAGAGCTTTGGGCTTTGGTGGGGTAGAAGGACAGCTGTGTGCGTGTGTGTGTGTGCGCGCGCGCGTGTGTGTGTGTGTGTGTGTGTGTGTGCGTGTGTGTAGGGGGTGAGGTGGGAGTCTACATATGTTAGGGGGTCACGAATGTGCATGCACACATGGGCACAGAGAGAGGAGGTGCATACACATCCATGTGTCCTCCTAGAGGGGCTAGAAATGGAAAAAAATCTGAAAAATATATATTTTTTAAATGGCAGGGGAGGTTTTTGGTCTCTACTCCTCCTCAAAGTAAAACAGAAAAAGCAACCTTTCCCAGGCTGTCATATCTCTAAATACGGCAAATGCTAATTTAATAAGCAAACCAAATTATACAGGATGCATGTTTATTTCTCAACCAAAGTTTGCTTCTCTAAAGGGCATTATAAAAATTACATTTTATATAATTCTCCAAATTTCTATGCCCCCCCACAAGTCTCATTTCTCCCCATCCATGACTTCAAAACCTCTGGGAATTCTGAGTCTCCAAATGAGAGTCTCCAGGTAAGTAGGAAATAATATAAAGATGTCAAAGAGGGCCCAGGAGAGGATCTTAGGGGCTCTAGAAAAATTAAGTCTTTCTTTGGTTATGATCTCAATAATTAAATATCCTATTGTTTAAAATCAAGAATACAAAAGATCTGATTTTTTCCCCATTCCTTCTATATGGTTGGTTTAATATAGACATTATCTCTTTTTTTGTTAATCTTTCCCTTTTTTTCATTTTTATTTTTATTGTTTTGTCCTATGCTCCTCTTTCCTGTTCAACTACATTATTCTCTGGCCCTCAGTTAGTCAATTTTTTGTTGCTCTGTCCTAAATTCTATCAATCAGCCCACTTCCCTCCCAGAGGGCCAATATGGTTAAAAAGGTGTAGTCAGAGGAGAGAAGGCGGCCAGCCTCACTTGGCCCTTGAATTTGGTTCACTGAGCCAAAGTGAAATCTACATACTGAGCATCCGCCCAGGCAAAAATGCAAGGCACGCCCACCACCCCTCCACTGCTGCTCGACAATCTGCTCATCACGAACAATATTAGCCCCAACTTCCCTATCTTCAATGGGTCCTTTAGAACAAAGTATCTCCCAAAAGAAACATGGTTTGCCATTTAAAACAACACTTGGATTCAATTGCAAGTTTTAGGCACCTATCTGTTACCTGGTAACAGAGACACAAGGTCCACAACACGGATGAAACTTGAGTACATCATGCTAAGTGAAATAAGCCAGTCAGGAAAGGACAAATACTATGTGAGTCCACTTATATAAGGTACTGAGAGGAGTCAGATTTATAAAGATAGAAAGTAGAATGGGGGTTGGTAGGGGCGAGGGGGAGGGAGGATGGGGAGTTAGTGTTTAATAGATAATGGAGTTTCAGTTTTGCAAGATGAAAAGATTTCTGAAGATTGAATGCACAACAATGAGCATCTGTCTTAATACTACTGAAGCATACACTTAAAAATAGTTAGGATTGCAAATTTTAAAACTTTAAATTTAAAAAAAAAAAAAGGTTTGTACTCTAGTGGCAGTTTTCCATAGGCTTGTAGTCTTAGGGTTAGAAGAGGTAATCAGAGGCCATTTAGCCCTGTGGTCCCCAACCCCCAGTCCATGACCCAGTACCTGTTCATGGCCTGTTAGGAAATGGGCCATGTATCACCACCTGAGCTCTGCACCACCCTCCCCCACCCACGACACCCAGCCCCCCACCCTGGGTCTGTGGAAAAATTGTCCCCCATGAAACCAGTCCCTGGTGCCAAAAAGGTTGGGGACTGCTGATTTAGCCCCATGTTTCTCAAATGTTTTTGACTGGGACCTGCTACATTTTATATCTTGTATATAAAAAAACTACATTTTACATCATGATCCAGTATGTATATGTCATGATACAGATACATATATGCATGTATGATTACTGATACATACGAACACACACATACATCTCTCTCTCTCTCTCTCTGAAATGCAGATGTATAACTAAAAAATGTACAGGAAACATTATTTGTCTCATTATAGGGTATATGTTCTTATTTTTTTCTACTCTATCTTATTTTATTAAGACAAATTCCATTTACAATCTACAAATTGATTTTATAATCTACTAAAAAAAAAGGTCTCAGTCTGCATTTTAAAAAACATTAACCTAAACCAACCTCTAACATAATGCCAAAATCTCCTCCAAAGCCTCCCTGTTGGGTGGTCATCCAACTTCTGCTTGAATGCCCTTGGTGACAGGGAGCTCACTCCCTGCAAGGCAGCATGCTCTATGGTAGACCCATCTAGCAGGTCCTTGGTCACCACAAAGCTGCTCCACTGGAGTGGCCTGGGTGGAGCTGGGGATCCCAGGAGGGCTGGGACCAGCTGACAGGTGCTCATTGGCTTCCAAAGGGGGTGAAAGCAGAGCTCCCAGCAGCAAGGCGGGGGCTCAGGGTGAGCCAGAGGAGAGGGCAGTGTTGCTGGGAGACTCTGGCTCCCTTCCGGGGAGCTGCTGATCAGACCTTGCCCCTCTGCCTTCTCACTGCTTCAGCACTGTGATTATTTCCTCATCTGGCGGATGATCTCATCCCCCCCAGCACCCGCCTGTGGGAGAGGTTTCCTCCCCCTGGAGGGGCCTCAGCCTCCAGTGGAGGCAGGTTCCCCCACGCTCCCTCTCGACTCCCACCCGCCCTCCGGACTCCAGCGGGACACCTCTGGCCATGCCCACCTCGTACTCTCTTTGGTCTTGAGACACACAGGGGTAACCCTGCCCAGGGTGTCCAAGGGCTGCCTGAACCTTTCTGACCCCCCCCCCTACACACACACATTCTGGAGACCTGCCCGGGTTCAGGACAATGAGACTCTGCCACACCTGATTGTATCTTCCTGGACGAAATAAAACAAAGACAGCACCACCACGTGGGGACACAGCTGGCCACTGGACATCCAGACCCAGGTCCCGGGATGAGAAAAGGACACTGTCTAAACTCCTGGTGAGGGTGGCGGGCTGAGCGAGGAGGGGGCCTGGCCCGGCCACATGCCAGGGCCAGGGCGTGGCAGTGCCGTGTCTGTGCAGTCCTCAGCTTGCCAAGCCAGCCAGCCCCGACCAGGTAGCATCAGGCTGACCTCAGGGTGGGGCGGGGCGAGGAAGAGGTGATGATCTCATTGCCTCCTTGGAACCAAGGGAAAAAAGTAACCATGCAGAGATAGAGGAGAAAGAAAAGGCAGATGCTAAAAAATGGGAGCAGAGACAGGAAAAGCTCTGCCTGAGGAAGAAAAGGTAAAACGCCCACTTGAAAGGGGTCTCCAGGCTAGAGGCAGCTCCAGGCAAAGCCAATCCTTGCACAAAACCTCTCTCCCTGGGCAACAAAACATTTTTGTGCAGAAATAACTCACCGTGGACATCTGGCGATTCCCACCCATCCTGGCCCTCCTGAGCGCTGGCATTGAAGTAACACCTGGAGCCCAGCCTCGCCCCTCTGCCAAGCACCATTCTTTTTGCCTCATGCCATTTTCCCCAGGGTTTGACAAAGTTTAATCGATGGAGTGAAACCAAAGGCAACGTAATAGGTGCCAGGCTCCCCAACTTTCCCCCCGCTGTGGTTGCTGTCTTGTTGCTTTCCTTTTGTCTGGGAAGCCTGGAATCATTTGCATGGCATTTCGACTTACCTGCAGTCTGGTTAGAAGCGAGCCCGCTCTCTTCCTCACTCCCTCAATTAGTGGTACCCTGGGCTTCTCTCAACATCAGCACCAGCGCTGGCTCTCACCATGACATCACCTCCGAGCTCCGTGATTGGCCAGTGGCGGGTTGCTTGGCAATTGGACAGGCTCCTCTGGTGGGGCAGGGATTGCCTGAGTGAGTAACTCTTCGCAGGCCGGGGAGTGGAGGATGATGTCAGACAAAGAGCCTGCTTTCTCGGCTGCCCGGGGAGCAGGGGGCCCAGCGGGAGAGGGTGGCAAGGGAGAAAGGGGAGGGGTGCAGGGAAAGTGAGGGTGAAGGCACAGTTTTGCGAGCTGGGGGAATGATGGCTGGTTTTGAAAATCTTTAGGTCTTTCAAATCTGGGGATGGGAGAAGATGGAATCTAAAGGAGAAATAAAAAAGAACAGATGAATCCTAAAAATAACTTCCCGGAGGGCTCGGCACCTATTTCGGGACACGTTCGAAGGGCTGGTGGGTTTGAACGCTGGACTCAGGAGGCAGGACGGGGCTGCAGAAATCCCGGCCCTGGAGCTGGGAAGGGCCACACACAGGGGTCTCAGCGCAGCAGGGCTTCCCTCCAGCCACTCTTGCGAAGGTGTCAGCCACCTCTCTGCTGTGACGTTTGACCAGCCCTGGTGGTCCTCATGCTCCATCCAGCCCACCTGGGGCCTTTCACAGGGAGCCACAGGGAGGAGGACCGGCTGGCCACCATGCTGGTGACTCCTGGATGTGGTGGGGTCCTGGGGGAAGGTGATGGGTCATCGATTGTGGCTTCTTCCGTTGCCCCAGGGAATGGGGGTGGCCCGGACACGAGCTTTGCAGTCTGCTCACCCTCTGAGCCAGTCATCTGGAGGGAGCAGGATGGGGCATGTGAGGGGGTGAGCCCCCCTCCTCCGGGACACCCCGCCTGATGAAAGCCCCACGATGTGTCCACCCTCTCCACACTCCACCGCCCAGCCTGGCCTCACTTGTTTTTCTCGGGGAGGGAGGTAATCGTTCTATTATGGTAAGACCTGCATAACATAAAATTCGCCATTTTAACCATTTTTAGTAGCTCAGTGGTGTTAAATACCTTCACATTGTTGTGCAACCATCACCACCCTCCCTCCCCAGAACTTTCGCATCTCCGCTGACTTCCAACCACAACCATTAAACAATAACTCCCTTCCCCCTAAGCTCTGATCTACTTTCTGTCTCTGTGAATTTGCCTACTCTGGGGGCCTCGTATCGGTGGAATCAGACTGTATTTGTCCTTTCGTGTCTGCCTTCTTTCACTTGGTATGTCACCTTTGAGGTTCATCCATGCCAGAATTCTATCGCCTCCCCCTTTCAAAGGGGTGTTTGCTCCACCCTCTTACCGCCACACCCCTGTTGGCTGAGAGCACACGCAATGACAAAAAGTTACCTCGATTTCAGCCCATGCTTTGAAATTATTTTTTCACTATAATAGCATGAACGAGCATCTGGCAATCGTGGTCAATGCATGGATAAGATGTGCGGTGAGTTCTCTCTGCAAACTGTGCTGGGGCGAGTAGATTCTCAGGCCCTGCCTCGAGCCCCTACCTGTGCCTCCCTGCCCGTGCCTCCCTGCCCAGTGCCCTGCGTGGTTGTCCAGGGGGTCCCGTATGGTCATAGAGCTCCAGCCCCCACCTCGCATCAGGAGGGAGGGCACGGTGAGGCTGCCCGCCTCCAGCCAGCCATGCCTGGGGGTGGCCAGAATGACGAATGACCCCTGGCAGCCTTTGGGCTTTTCAAAGCACACTGGCACCGAGTCTGTGGTGTGAGTCCCTCAGCTGTGCTGCGAGGGCAGCAGGATGAACACCGTCCTGTTTGGCATTCGGTGGGTGTCTCTGAGCCACATGCTTATCATGCACGGCACGCGCCACCAGCCCAGGCCCCAGGCCCCCATGCTGGCCCTTGCAAAGAAAATCAGGATAACTAAGGATGTCAGAAGTGGTTCCCTGAACATGGGAAAATGACAGAGGCCACCCTGCACTCCGGGCTGGGATTTGGAGTCCACAGAAACCCAAATCATGTGGCTGTCCTGGCTGCCCTCCTCACTTCCCCCCCCAGAGCCCGAGCCCCGAGAAGTCTGGAACTCCACAGATCTGCTGGCTCCGGAAAGTGAGGGATGGGGAGAGGAGACAGTAGGTTGCCATGGCGACAGCAGCCAATCAGAGAGCCTCTGCTGCAGAGGAGGAGCGAGCAAGGCCTGAGTCCCCCCAGCTGACCATGAAGGGTCAGGGAGAAGGGGACAGGACATCAAGACCTGAGAGCAGAGGCCACAGTGGGGGAGAAGGGTGATGGAGAGGGCTGCTCTGTTTCTAGAATGATCTACTACCATTTGAGTGCTGGCTGTGATGGGCTACACACACATACACATGCACACTCACACGCCCAGTAAGTCTCACAACTGCCCGGTGGGGACAGGATTACCCACCCCATTTATAAAAGAAGCAGACTCAGGTAGGAAAGGTAACCTGCAAACAGCCTCGCTGTCAAGTGGTGAGGTCTAGATTTGAACTTGGGTGGGAAGAGAAAATAATATTGGCAAGAGAAAGAGCAAAGCAAGCCGGGTAGGGCCACTCTGAAGATTTATCAGGTGGGAGAGTCCCAGGGGTCCCTGAGGTGGCACAGGGCAACATGGTGATGAAATGAGCAAAGAAGCAGAGCTATTGTAGGAAAATGTGCCAAGCCTCAAGCCCAAAGGTTAGGAGAGACTAAAACCAGAAAAGAAAATAGCAAGGTGGAAACTGGGAGGTTCAGAGGGGTGGGAGAGGGCAGGATGGGCAATATGGTCCACACCTCAATACCAAGGCTCGATGCCTGCAAGCCTTGCTGAGAAAGGCGGGCGACCAGAGGCTGTTCCGGGGTCAGCTTTGGGTTGGGCCGGCTGCTTGTGTTCAGTCCAGCTAAATGCAGCAGCTGGACCTTGGTCAAAGGGTGTGTGGGCCCCGTGGTGCACACATCTGGGACATCACCTCTGCGGACGTCAGCTCCCACAGCTCAGGTGGCACTGTAGCAGTGACTCTGGGACCAGGTGTGTGTGGCCATTCCCTGAGTACCCATGCTCTGCCTGGCTGCACTGTGGGCACCGATTTATTCATCTCCACCCAGGGATCCAAGGACAGTCACTGCCCAATGACTTGACTCAACATACAAGCCACTGAGGCACAAAGGAGCATGCCCAGTGCCCAGAGGGTCCTGGCCCTTGACAGGCGTGGTTCTACTGTAGGACCAGCTGGGCAAGCACTCTGGGACCCTCATGGAGCCTCCACGCTGCTCTCTTTCCAGCCCTCAGGAGCATGGTCCTAGCCTCACATGGGAATTCAGAATATCTGATCAACACATGCGTGTCTGTTTCACTCACACCAATGCAGTTTGTAAAGACGATATAATATAAATGGGCATTTATTTTCTGCCTTTATTTTAGGGCACTGAAGTTTGGGGGATTTTCTTCAGTAGAATTTGTTGAACTGAACATCGTCAGATATTTACTTAAAACGTGTATGCACTACGTCTTTTATTTTTTAATATGAACACTGTTATTTCACCTGAAGAGTGGGTGTCCTGAGTCACAAGCTCTTGTGACACTAGTGACTTAGACTTTCTTTCAACCAATTAAAACCCAAAGCAACTCAGCCAATTTGAATTCAAGCAAAGCCGGATTGCTGAAGCTATTTGTTTATGCTGATGATTAGGTTTGTAAACTAAATAGTAATGGTGGTTAATATTTATAACAACAACATATGATGTTTATAAAAGCAACATTTATCAAGTGAGCAAAAACCCGTAAATCACTAAGAACATTGCTTGGCACAAGGTATGGGCTCAATAAATGTGAGCTATTATTATGACATCCTTAAATACAAAAGCAAACTACCCATGGGTCTTAGGTTTGCAAGTAACAGAAGACCATTTCAAGCTTGTTAAGAAAAAAGAGACAGAGAGAAAACATATATTAAAATTTAAAACCACTCAACCCAATTAGAAAATGGGCAAAATACACAAAGAGACATTTCACCAATGATGATATGCAGACAGTGAAAATACACATGACAAAATATTCAACAGTATTACCGGGAGGGAAATGTAATTTAAGAACATGATGAGGTATCACTCTACACCTATGAAAATAGCTAAGATAAAAAAAATAGTGAGAATACCAAATGCTGGTGACTATGCAGAGAAACTAGATCTCTTATGCATTCTTGGTAGGAATATAAAATGGTACAACCAGTCTGGAAAGTAGTTTGGCAGTTTCTTTAAAAAAAAACTAAACATACGCTTAACAGATCACCAACCAATTGCATTCCTGAGCATTATTACCAGAGAAATGAAAACAAACGCACACAAAAGCCTGAACACAAATGTTCATAGAAGTTTCATTTGTAAGAACGCCCAACTGGAAACAACCCAAATGTCCCTCCATAGGTGCGTGGATAAGCAAACCATGGCACATCCATATCATAGAATACTATTCAGCGACGAAAAGGCATGAACTATTATTGATACATGCAACAACTGGAATGGATCTCAAGGAAATTATGCTGAATTTAAAAAATAAAAAGGAAAAAAAAATCCAGGCTCAAGAGGTCACATTGTATGATTTCATTTCTAGAATATTCACAAAACGATGAAATAACAGTGGTGGGAAACAGATTGGTAGCTATTGGGGCTTAGGAATGGCGGGGATGGAAGGGGGTGCCTAGAAAGGGGTAACAGAAGGAATATCTGTGCAGAATGGAACCATTCTGTGTCTTCATGGGGGTGATGGTTACATAGATCTACACCTATGATAAAATGACACAGAGCTAAATGCATACACACTGTATCCACTTCCCGGTTTGATGGTGTACTATTGTTGTGTCTATTGTAACCACGGGGGAAACTGAGTAAGGGATTCTTGGGGCCTCTCTGCACTGTCTTTGCAAGCTCTTCTGAATCTGTAATTATTTCACACTAAAAAGTTACCAGAAAAGAAAAGAAAAAAGGGTGTCAGGAATATTTCCTGGAACCCAAAGCATAGTGTTCTTCTCAAGAAACAATAGTCAGGAAATCAATCATGCACCAG